CTTTCAATATGAAATTCTCAGGAAAAAGACACAGACTAGCAGCTTGGTTTGGAAAACATGATTCATCTTTGGTTCCCTCCAAGTAACACACCTCACCGTTAAAAGACACATCTTGATGGTAGAAGGTTGAAAAAAGATAAAAGAATCAAATGTAAATGGGAAATACACAGGCATAGATATTCTATTATTGAGAAAATAAATTTCAAGCCAAACCTGTCAGAAGAGATGAGAAGTGTCAGCCAATTCATACTTATTATTTTTCATTTTTTATTGTTCTACTCCCCTTTTCACTGAATTTTTGTATGTTTCATGCAAAAAAAATCATCTTTATGTACCCTTCTCCATTATCAGTTTCCCATAGTACCCCCAATGTAGTTCAGACATTCTTTCATTTATTTTAAGGCATGTAAGGTAAAGTTAGTGTCCCCAGATGTTCCTCAGTGCAAGTTATTCTACTGGGATCTATTCATCCTATCTCGAGTCACTCCCTTTAAGATGACCAGCTATTCCTTACCCAGTTGTCATCAGATGCCAGTAATTCTTCAACTAAGATTGGGGCCTGCTGTTCATTTCCACAGTGCTGTGCTGGGCATTTTTCTGCTTAAGTTTGCATGAGTCTTGTGCATGCTGATCCCATTGCTCTAGGTCTATATGAGAAGAGACTCAGGAGCATATAGGACTATTTCCATATGATCATGTACCTCCTCCCTATCTATTACAATCTTTCCTCTTCCTCTTCCATAATGGTCTTTGAGCCCTGAGTCCAAGGATTTTAATGCTGAAGTCTTGAGCAAGGACTCACACTATGCAGATTTTTTATTCTCTGCACTTTGGACATTTGTGAGCTTTTGAATTCCTGGCCCTCTGTTGCATGAGGGAGCTTCACTGATGAGAACTGAAATTGAAATTGAAATTGAAATTATTATTGTTCTCCCCATTTCTTGTTCATTTGAAACAAGGAGAAAGAGAGTTCCCTATAGGGTTCTTAGTCTCATTCATAAAAGAATTTAAGAATGGACCCAAACCGAAACTTTTACAACTTTATTAGAATCTTAAAGAAAAATTGTCAGAGTAGGTGAGCTGGCAATCTTGACAGCTGCCCTGAGAAGGTGAATAATGGGAAGAAAGAAAGAAAGCCAGGAAAGTCAAGCAGGTTTAGAGCCTGTATAAAGGTCAGTCACGTGGCTGACTTGCAGCCACATGGCTGGGAGAAGGAAGCTTTACAGAAAAAGTGAAGAAATACAAGATGCTAGGGGCATCCCAAAGCCTTAAAGAAAGCATGTAAGAAAGGCATGACAAAGAAAAGGAGAATTTATGCTTTCATGAAGAGTTCAGGAAAGTGGACAGACTTAGGAGACCTACATGGCTGTGGCTGGTCTGGAAGTTCTAAGGGGACCTGAGCTAGTTCCAGGCAGAAATACTTGCACTTAATTAACACAGCAGATATTCCACTCATCTATTTTCCATAACTTAAGGTGACCCTGCCTTCCTGGGAGTGGTTCTATCACCAGGTAATTGACCAGAGAGACTGGAAAAGTAGGATCCTCCAACAGATAGACTAGATATTTTTTAGTCTGGACTAGCTCAATTTATGGGACTTACTGATACTCTAACACTGTTACATGAGCCTTAGGTGTAGAGGTTGCATGGTTGATGTGCCACATAAACTTGGGGAATTCATAGACAACCTCTTTGAGTAACTGGTTGTGAAAATGTAATTATTTCTGTCTCTTGAAAAAGAAGTTTCATTGATGGGTGGTGACTAGGATACTTGTCTGTAATTTTTGGATACATATTTTGCACATGGTTAGAAATTACATTAATCTAAGGATGTGACAGCCTTGGGGTATTCTCTAAGATCTATGACATCTCCAACTGTGTATATTTGGCTAGGAATACAGTACCACATGTGAGTTTCCTCCATAAAGTGGGTTTTAAGTCCTGTTAGGTAGCTGTTGTTTACACCCAAGATAAAACTGCCACTACTGCAGCAATTTCATTTGCTATGTTAGTCACTGATGCGGTTTTTAGGACTGGAACTGGGACTGATCCATAGATTGATGTTCTCCCTCACCAGCTCGCATAGTGCTCTCCAAAACTATGAGAGCTAGCCTACAGGGGAGGTGGTTTCCAAGTCAGTTTAAGCTCCATTGCTCCAAATTCTGTGTCCAAACTATGTTCTGTCTTCAGCAATAGGGTCTTACCATCAAGTTCTGAGAAGGAAATAAGGACTGTGGCAATAGTATCTCTAATTTTGGGATTCTTTTGGGCCACCCTGGCCAACAACTCAAAGGAAGGTTGCTCCTGCCTGGCACTGTTTCTTGTTATGTAGCCTTCAACTCTACTCATGGACTCATGTAGAGATACTGACTGAATATGTAATTTTTGAATTGTAGGTTTTGGAATAATATGATTTTATCTGTATTTTTACACTAGGTAAGCACTATTTATCTCTCATCTTTCTCCCCCTGTATTATCATCCCTCCTAACCCTCCCCATTTAAACTGTCCCCATTATCCCGATTTCTCCCTTGATAATTTCTGTTAATTGTCCTGCTCCTCTGTTGTGCAAAATCTTTTGTCTGATTTTCCCTTTTGCCTTACATACCTATTATACTGGAATGCAGTGCTTCCTGTTTCTCATCAGAGAGAAAACTATGTAAGTCACATAGTTTCCAGGAATCCGAAACTTAGAGAAACTGAAACTTATCATGCTAATAGGACATCTGGCCCACTAGATTGTAATAGGATACTAGTCTGCCATGCTAATAAGGGATCCCACATGCTGTGTTATGATTGGACTATTATCCCTATATAAGCCCGTACTTTCCTGCAATAAAGCAGATCTATGTCACTGAACCTGGTCTCCTACGTCTGAATGTGTTGACGCTGGCATAGACTTCTCACCAGCCCTGGGGTCTGGACTGGATGAGTGATGAGGTGAACTGAGAAAGCAGAAGAGTAACCATAGCCGGAGGAGAACAGCCACAGCCAGCAACCACAGCTGGCACCCAAACGTGGTGCTGGAACCCCCTCCCAACAGAGCTGTAACACTCTGAGCTGTAACACCTTGGGCTCCTGATGCCCCCTTTCTCGGTGCTCTTCCAATGGTGGCTCACTGCTTTCATTTTTTCTGCTGTTTCTTCTGGTTTGCAATCTTCAGTTGGGCATGCAGATCCTGTCTTCTCTGATCATCTCCTTGAAAGGTTCCTGAGTCCCTTTGGGTAAGTCTTGCAGGGTGAGTGACCTCCAGTATGGGGAGTAGTCATCCAGCTGCTGCAGGCCCCCATGCTGCTGCACTGGCTCCTCTCCTCAGGAGTAAGCATATTAGGGTGACAGAAAAGGATGTAACTAAGTTTTTAGGTGAAGCACTATCTCTTGCCCCCTGGTTTACAGATTCTCATTGCTGGGATCCCAAATAATGGGCTTGCATTTTATTCTTGGCCCAGTGTAAAGAAGTCAGGGAGGGATGCCAACAGTCTTGCTGTTCTACCCCATTGTGACAGCCATTCTGGCCTCTCTTTGGGGGG